CTTTTACCCTCTCCAGGATGAACTTCTTTGTTCTCCTAGCAATCCATGGTATATTCAATACTCTTCTCCAGCACCACAGTTCAAAGGCATCAACTCTCCTTCTATCATCTCTAGTCATTGTCCAGCTCTCTGAAGCATAGCAAATAATGGCAAAAACCATGGCCTATATCAGGTTCACCTTAGTCTCCAGACTGACATGATTGCTCCTCAGTACCTTAGAAAGGTCTCTGACAGCAGACTTTCCCATGCAATTCAGCTTTTAATTTCCTGGATGCTGGTACCAAGAGTGTTGATTGTAGAGCCAAGCAAACAGAAGATGGAGACAATCTCAATCTTTTCACCATCTGTCATGATGCTGTCAAACAGTAGAGTGGTGAGAATCTTTGCTTTCTTGACGTTGATCTTCAATCCATATTGAAGGCTTCAATCTTTGACCTTTTCCAGCAAATGTTTCAGGTCCTCCTCAGTTTCAGCAAGCAGGGTTGTGTCATCTTCATAATGCAGATCGTTATAAGTCTACTTCCAAACTGAGGTATTACTTGCCTTAATAATGTACCCTATGCCCTATGTTTCTAAAATTTTCTAAAATTGGAAGTTAGGTGGAAGAAATGGAGTAAATTTAATAAATATCACTTGTTTTACAGAGCTTAGAAGGACAGGTGCTTATACTCTTTTTTCTTTATATGATATATGGTTCACAGAGTTTGTCTTTATGTTATTAATTGCCGTCAAGTAGATTCTGACTTATGGTGACCTTAAGTGTGCAGAGTAGAATGAACTTCGTATGGGAAGCTGATTGCCAAATCTTTCTTCTATAAGAGCCTCTAGGTAGGTTTGAACCATCAACCTTATTGTTAGTAGTCTAGTATTTAACCACTTAAGTTACCTCATGGCTCCTTTGGTTTAATAGTTTTATAGATTATTCAATAGTCATTAAATTATGTGTTAAATTGTGTATTCTATAGACATTAAATTATTTAAATTAAAAAGCTAAATTTCTTTCTAAATACATCATGAATGAAAATTGAAAACTATCTTGAGCTAAAGAAATCAGACATAGAATTTGGGTTCCTAAAGACTGTGAACAAGTTGGCTCTTGGCAGGTCTTGGAGGGAGGAGGCTGATCTGTGGAAAGTGGAACTCTCTCTGGAGGATTAGAGGGAGACATGTCTTTGTATATTTATGGCCCAAAATGTCCCCTGTGAGCCAGGCTGTATGGTGAGTTCTGATAGTGGTCAGCCGAGGGCAGAGAGCTATGGTCACTGCTGTGTTGCATATGGTTGTGAGAGACCAGAGGGAATGAAGGTTTTGCATCAGCTCTTCTGGATCCATGCTGCTTAAAAGGGGCAATCACAAGACACCACTGCTGATGCTGCCCTTGCCAGGAGATGCTGCTGCTGGAGCTGCCTGCCTGCCCCAAGAGATGCCTCTGCTGATGTGGAATGCCAGGAGATGCCACTTTTGATGATATGTCCAGGAGCCATGCAATCCAGGAGCCACACAAGCCAGGAGCCGTGCACAAGGGGAGTGATGCTGGAATTTGAGTGAGGTACCTTGTGGAGGGGTCACTGCTGTTCAAATGGATCACAAGGGACCCCTTAAGCTCAATCAGAAGGGAACAAGACAGCTGAAGCTCATCCTCGAAGGGAAAACCAAGGCTTCCTCATTTTCCAATCAAGACTTTGTGTTCTGCCTTCTGTCTCTGCATGGCCATTCCAGTAAGTGCCAGTAGCCCAGAACATCTTGGGCTGGCCAAGCCATGGCAGTTCTCTGACAGAGGAAGCGGCTTTCACAGGCTTTTATCTATTGAACTGAAGCAGATCATCCTTTGGGTCAGAAGGCAGAGAAAAGCCCAGGCAGGGTGGCTTTCCGACCCAATTCTGGAGCAGTGACTTCAGATCAAGAAAATGCTATTGCCTCAGGCATGATAAACTCTACCACAGCAATGTTACATAGGAAGCAAGTTACTTTACCCCCTGCACAAGCCAAAAGCAAGATGTCAACCCCAAAAAGTAATACAATATCAATGGATTTCCTTAAGCCAGAAAGTCTGATGAAATTTTCAGACACAGACTTTAAAAGAACAATGATTGAATATTTTCAATGGGTAGAAGACAAACTTGAATAATTACAGGACACTTCAAGCAAAAACCAGGAGAAATTTTTGAAAAAAAAATTCCAAAGCCATGCAGGTAAAATTAATGAGGCATTACAAGCACCAGAAAAATAAGAAACCAGAATTAAAAATATGAGGACCAATGTTTCAGAAACTATCAATAAAATGGAGGGTCACATGAACCAGGTAGAAGAGATGAAACACAGAACCAGTAAGATAAATAATAGAATTGTCACCACTGATATGCTAGAGCAAAGAAGCAGAATCAAAAAGGAAGGAAAAAGAAGAAAAACTAAGAATGTGGGAAACCATCAAGAGAAACAACATACACATCATCAGAATCCCAGAACAGGAAGAAGAAACTAAGGCACAGGAAAAGTTGTGGAAGAATTACTAGAGGAAAACTTTCCAGGCACAATGAAGAATGAAAGAATATATATTCACGAAGCTGAGAGAACACGATATAGAAGAGATCCCAAAATAAAAACACCAAGGCATATCATAGTTAAATTTGCCCTAACCAAAGATGAGAATTCTGAAAGCAGCAAGGGAGAAACAAAGAGTAACCTATAAGGGAGAGCAAAGTGCCCATTTCTCGGGAGAAACCATGCGATCAAGAAGACAGTGGAATGACACATATTGAACACTCAAAAAACACAACTGTCAACCAAGAATATTGTACCCAGAAAATTGTCCATCTAATATGAAGGAGAGATGAAGATATACCTAGAAAAACAGAATTTAAGGGAGTTCATAAAAACAAAACCAGCATTGCAGAAAACACTGAGAGATGTCCCTCTAACAGATATGCCACAGATGGCAGGATGTACAAACATATCTAACAACAACATCAAAAAGAACTCAACAAAATGATACTAATAAAACCTTATCTCTCAATAATCACACAGAATGTGAATGGTTTAAATGCACCACTGAAGAGAAGAAGAGTAATAGATTAGATAAAACCCCAAAATCCATCTATATGCTGACTATAAGAGACATGCCTGAAAAGTAAAGATAAAGAAACACTAAAAATAAAAGGGTGGGGAAATATATACCAAGCAAATGCCAACTAGAAAAAAAACCAGGAACATCTGATAAAATAAATTTCAATGCAAAAACTATCAGAAATGACAAGGAAGGTCACTACATAATGCTTAAAGGGTAAATAGAACAAGAGGAAATAACAATAATAAATATCTATGCACCAAATGATGTTGTTGTTGTTGTTGTTGTTGTTGTTGTTGTTACGTGCTGTCGAGTCATTTGTGGCTCATAGCAACCCTATGGACAACAGCCCTAAACCCTGCTCTATCCTGTGCCATTCGCACTGCCTTTCACACACCCATCCTGATTACCCCAGTCACTGGATCAATCCATCTCATAGAGGGTCTTCCCTTCTTGCACCATCCCTCCACCCTCGCAAGCATGATATCCCTCTCCTGTCCCTCCTTGCAACATGCCCAAAGTATGTCAGACGAAGCCCCAGAATCCTTGCCTCCAAAGAGTAGCTTGGTTTAACCCTCTCCAGGATGAATAGAGCTGCAAAATATATAAAACAACCATTAACAAAACTTAAAAAAGAAACAGACAACAACACTATAGTAGTAGGAGACTTCAATACACCATTCTCAAGAAAAGATAGAACTACTCAGAACATTTAATCGTGCTAATGCGAAAACTATACTTGGACCAAGAGGCAGTCATCAGAACAGAGCAGGGTAGCACTGCATGGTTCAAAACTGGGAAGGGTGTACGCCAGGGATGTGTCCTATCTCCATACCTTTTCAACCTGTATATGCAGAGCAGATTATCCGAGAGGTTGGGCTCTATGAGGAGAACTGTGGCGTCAGGATTGGTGGAAGATCTATTAATAATCTGCATTATACAGATGACACAACCCTGCTTGCCAAAACTGAGGAGGACCTCAGGCACTTGCTACAGAGGGTCAAGGACTGCAGCCTTGAGTATGGACTGAGGCTTAGTGTCAAGAAGACACAGATTCTCACCACTGGACCAATTGGTAACATCAGGATGGATGGCGAAGAGATTGAGATTGTTCACAACTTCAGTTTGCTTGGCTCCACGATCAACACTCTTGGCACCAGCAGCCAGGAAATAAAAAAAAGTATCACGATGGGAAAGCCTGCTGTTAGGGACCTCTCTAAAGTACTCAAGAGCAACGGTGTATCTCTGGAGACTAAAGTGCACCTGATAGAGGCCATGGTCTTTGCAATCATTTGTTATGCATCAGAGAGTTGGACAATGACTAGGGAGGATAGAAGGAGAATTGATGCCTTTGAGC